ACTATATATATATATATATTTTTTTTTTTTCTCTCTCTCTCTCTATATATATATACATATATATATATATATATACGTACATAAACACAGCTATAGTGTATGATGGTAGGAGTTGGGGGTTTCCTGTAGTATATATATATATATACTTATGATAGTAAGTCCCCCTGTAAGGTAGATAATCCGGGGCTGCCTAAACATCCGTCACACCCCAGACCCAGCTCTAAACTACACACCCTTCATCCTCCCGCAACTGAGGATGGCGCAGGGGTCCCAGCGATTCTGAGCGGAGGGTTTGATTCGGGTGATTTGCGTCTGTTATTGAGGCCTGAAGCCCTATACATCCCCTCCCTATCCTTGCTTGATGATTGAGCATACATCGTCAGACAGCACCCAAGACTTAGACCTCCCGAAGCCCAAACTTCGAGGCATCAGAAGGGGGCTTGGGCCCGTTTCTGGGAGCACGAGATTCTTGAGGCATTTGTAGGCCACAAGATGCAAAAACGGGCTTGTGGCCCAAGCCAGTTCAGTACAATCTGCAAGGCTATGTAATTAGGGAGCGTGGAAGTCCATTCCTTGTTTGGGATCACAAATCTTTGCGGAGCATGCGGCGCATATGTACGACATCTTGCGGAGCTGTCGAAGCCTGACGTACACCCAAAATACGAGGACCCATGGGAGAAGAATCTCAATGAACGTCTGGTCCAGAAGGTTCGGGAACATTGGGAAACCAACTTGAACTTATAACTTATCCTGAAGCTCAGCAAGGGATCCCGAATTTGCGGAAGCGTCTTTGTTTGTGTGAGCCGTAAATNNCCCCCCCCCAAAAAAAAAAAAGAGGCCAAGACCCGCACAGAGTCTGCGCTGACGAAGAGGATGGAGCAGCTCACGCAGAGGACCCGGGAAGCGTGTGAGGGTAGTAGTTTGTAGCTTCAGGCTTCAGAGTTGAGGGCTCTGGCTCAACACCATCCTCAATCCTCATCATCATGATCATCATCGTAGCAAGAGTAGGTCATGGTGGTACTTAGACAAGAAGGCGCTTGTAAGGTTTGAGTATGTAGTAGCCTTTCTTCTAGTCAGGCCGCACTCAAAGCCTGTAATCCCGCCCGAAGCTTCTGAAGTCTTCCTAAGGTTCTAAGCTCACCTCCGCCGTTTCGGGGAATGAGTTTAGGGTTTAGGGATGCTGCAGAACCAGGACTTCCCGGATCCAGTTTCGAGGGAAGGGGGTTGACGATGGAAATCGTGTCGTTGTGGGCCTCCTTCCTTCGAGCGGTTCTTTTTCTGATTGGTCTGAGGTGGAATACAGGGGCTTCAATAATTGCCAATACTATCTTGGGAGGTTCCTTATGAGAGTTATAGTATACTATACCCCAAAACTGGCCCAACACCCTATTCTAATTATTAAGGCCCCTACATTAATTCGACTACCGCGGACCAAAACCCTCAACCCCGAAAGCTCAAGGCTCTAAATCCCAACTTGCTGCCCCAGACAGACCCTATGCCCTATGTGATATAGATCTCCACCATGGCCCCATAAATCCTGGACGCAAGGATCCCAGAGGTTACAAACCTTCATTCGGGAGTCGAGATACGCCACGGTTTAGGGTTTAGGGTTTAGGGTTTAGGGTCTAGGGTTTAGAGATACGCCATAGACCATTCAGAGCAAAAGCCATTCGAAAGGGAGGGGCACAGGCAAGCACCAAGCACTGTAAAACACACCCGCAAACCACATAACTAAACCCTATAGGCCCTCCTGCCTAGGGATTCGCTCAGCAATGCAGGAGGCAAAAAACTTAACCTACCTCTGAACGAGCATGAGAACCCAAAAGGAAGACGGAGCTCGAATCCCAGCTTCGCGAGCTCCGTTCCACGGTGACCAAGGCTGGCTACAGAAGCGCAGGAGTTCATATTGGGGTTTGGGGGTTAAGGGGTTTAGAGCTCAGGGGTTTCAGGTTTAAAGGCTTCTGGCTGTCCACGGCAGTCGGCGCCTCGGTCCCTGTCATGCGCACAGCCCAGGTGAAGAAGGGGTTTTGGCTGACACTCAGAGCCCAGCTGCAACAAGGAGTTTCGGATTTAGGGTTTAGGGTTTGGATGCACGTTGAAAACTGTGAGGAGTCCCACATTTTCATGCCTCCAAAGCCAGCCACCCCAGAGTAGATCTTCTGACTTCTCGGCGAGGGGTCATCGTGCTCGAGGAGTTCTAAGGCTAGCCCGGTCACGAGCAAACACCGACCCAGCCTGGTCTTCCTACATCGTCTAATTCCCTACAACACGGATTCCGAGGCACCACTACCCGAAAGTCAGCACGACATAAGCCCAGCAGCCGAACTCTATAAACCCCACACCTCGCCCCTCTCTTACAAGACTCCTGCGAGGCCGAGAGGGAGCTCGACAGCTCCTATCGGAAGCTGGGACAAAGTGGCAGTTGGCTTCCTACCGCTTAGCTTCGGGTTGGGGCTACTTGAGCCAGGTGACGGTGATCATGATGACGACGATGATGCCGACAATGGCAGTGGCGATGACGAATATTTTGCGGTAGTGATGACTACGGTGATGTTGATGGCCCCGGTGTTAGTCATGGATTGTTGGTTAGCAGAAGCGTATGTCAGGGCATAACAGAATTCAACCTTATTGAAACTTCGAACTTCGACCGTAAAGCCGGAATGAATGCCGTTCGACCTACGATCTTCTGATATGCAGCCGGGTGCCCATGTCGGTGCCAAAGGTCTTGATGGTGGCTTCGAGCCCTGTGCAAAGAATTTTAAGAATTTAAGCAGCCCCACCGAAACCGGCCGAAGGTTATGAAATCCGACTCTCTTGAGGCACTTTTTTCGGGCAGGAGCTTGGGCGTAGAGTCGGACCTCGAATGCGACAGACATGTGACGTATACCGTGAACTCCGACCGAGTGGCGAAACTCCAGCAGCTCTTGCCTCTGACCCTGCAGCTGCCCAGGAAGCTTGCCCCGGACGACACTAGCAAGAAGGCCGCCGTGCTTGACATAAGGGTTGTTGCGGCGTTGGTTCAGCGGACCGAAGGGGGCAAACTCGTTGCCATGTACGGGGCATCGTTCGATGAAGCTTCTCTTGAAACAGGTCCCTGCAAATGCGTGGAACCATCGCTTTCGGTTGGGCTAGATGTACGGGCACCGGGTTTGAACCTAGTTTCGAGGCTTTGAGGTTCAAGCTTCAAACCAGGCGCAGGAAACAGGCTTCAAACATAGTCAAACATCGGAATGTCTATCTAGGACTTCCGTGGGCAGTATAGACAAACCAGTGCTTCAACGGAGAAACTCCAGCAAGCTCGACACGCAAATGACGAGATGCTCTGTAATTTAGGATGCAGGCATTGGTGCAGGTCTTCAGGGCTACAGACAAGCATATCCGGGCCCACTTACTAGCGGCGGCGCCTCAGGAAAAGCTCGCTGCCGATTCGGAGCTCCTGTCGAAGCTTCCCGACTCCGCCATCGGAATGGTGTTAAAAGGTTAGGACACGAGGGCACCCCTGGAATTTGAGATGAATTTCCTTGAACCTTATGGTTCGGATTTGGGGTTATGAAGTCTTCGTTGTTCGAAGTATTCCAAAAAAATCGTGTTCGCTGGACGGACCGGATGCGCATTGCATACCCTTGTCCTCCTGTAAATGTAAGTCCTCGCCAACATGCAAACAATGAATCAAAGCTTTGGAAACTGATGACACCTGGTTCCAGCTCAAGTTTGTCAGCACAATCGTAGCGGCGCTACGAGGATTCAAAGGTTGTGCGCTCCGAAAGAACTCTAAGCTCATGCTGGCCGAGCCAAGACCATGAGTACTAATCACCGCATGCAACGCATAGTCCTACTTCGCAAACATAAAGGAGCACGTAAAAAGGCCTGGGAGGAAGGGAGGGAGGGAGGGAGGGAGGGAGGGAGGACCCCTGAGATCTGTGTAGGTTTCGGTCGCTCTGGGCTGCGCGCTGTAGGATCGCGGGACTACCAAGTATAATATAGGGGCCTTAGTAATCACCTATATCCAAAGTCTATTCCAATTATTCTGGCCCCTTTAAACCCTAAACCCTAAACCCTAAACCCAAGGGGCCAAAATGGTGGTCCGTGTACAAACTTGTTGAGCCTCCCGGTCCTCCGAGTAGGGCACAGGCAGAAGAGGCCAAGAGATCACATCTTCGGGTTCTCACGGTTTCTGGCGAGGTCGAAGCAATGCCGTATTGTGTGTGTATGTATATAAATGAATATAAATATACATATATATATATATATATATGAGAGAGCCTTATACGTTTTGCTTGTCTAGCTCCCTCTTGAAGCTAGCCTCCAGGCTGCGGAAGATGAGAGACAAAGTCGATGAGGCGTGGTGCGGCATTTGTGGCTCTGGGTTCCCCAGAAGCAACAAGACCTAAAGCCCCAGACTCCGAAAATCCGCAAGCATTTGCACGACAGAGCCTGGAAGCCCTGCGCGGCAAAAGCAAGCCCTGCGGCCTGGACCGTACCACAAGCCCTGGCCGGATTGCCCTTGGCCTGGCTCTGAAACGCTGGGGAGATTCGTAGCCTCCTGAAAATCTCGTGGGCCCTCACCCCTCACCCATAGGCTGCAGACTACATCGTCCAACCCTAGTCAGGCACCAGTCCTCATATAGCGTCTATTGCAATAACCTACACCCTACAAGAACTCGCCATCCACGAAATGACATCTCGGCGACAGGACTTCAGAGCCAAATGTACGGCACTGGAGATTGATAGCACCTGCAAGCGACCTTTGGCGTAATTGAGTCAAGTCGGGCCGAATAGAATTTTGATGCACCAACCATGCCTAGGGATGGCAGCTGAAATTACCTTTCTCACTAGGGTTACGACCTTGTCTTGGCGATGCTTCAAGTTAGTTCGGGGTGTCTGAACTGCAGCACATCGTTAGGTTCAATGGTCTAGGTAGCAATTCGAGGGACCAGGAGAGGCTTTAGATAGCAATCTTAGCTGCGAGCAGTACTCCGCGCAGTGATGTGTCTCCAAAACCCAAGACCCAATCCAATTCTGACGATCTAGGGCATTGAATCCTCCTGAACAGGCAACAGCACAGGGGGTAAGATAGAGAGAGAGAGAGAGAGAGAGCGAGACACAGCTTCTCTCGGTTAGTGTGCTGAGGGTGAAGGAGTTGTAGGTCCGCTGCCCTCTAACACCCCTACACCCTGAACCGCAAACCACGGAGTGTGCATGGTTCAGTTTGTTCGCAGGGCCCTATACTGTAGTTATAAGTTTGCCAGAGAGGCTCATAGAAGGTTTATAGCAGAGTACCCAAGAACCCGGAGCCTGAACCCCTCCCCAGGTCTAGGACTGTAGCCCTAAACCCTAAACCCTAAACCCTAAACCCTAAACCCTAAACCCTCAACCGTGGCTTCGTATTGGTGAGTTGCCGAGGAGTCAATGCCGCTAAAGCTGGAGAGGCCAAGTTGAAGAAGGACCGCGCAGACGAGTTTAGGGTTTAGGGTTTAGGGTTTAGGGTTTAGGGTTTAGGGTTTAGGGTTTAGGGTGGTTGTCAAAATTACGGTCCCTTGTTGGGTCCTTATTATAATACGGCACCTATTATTTAGGGTACCCCAGAAGGGGCCATAATTTTAACAACCACCCATACGGCATCAGGATTGATGTAGAGCCTTAGAGCTGAGGGCTAGGATTTTGGACATAGGATTTCGGCTTTTGGACTTTAGGGTAGTGTAGAAACCTCAGCAGAACTAGAACTGGTTTTGCTGAGAGCCGTGTGTATGTGTGTGTGTGTGTTGTACTGTCATGTCTTTCGAGCGAATATCTCGTCTGACCCGTGGGTGTTGTGCACCCCGCGCGCTGCTATGATGTACTCGAAACAGTTGCGACACGCTGAACCTATTAATAGGTTACTAGGTTTCACTTTCAGCAATAGCTCGCATCTGCACTGTTGCACTGTGAGCTATGAACCATATACATTTAAACTTAACCCTAAACCCTATAAACCCTAATCTATACCATAAAGCCACCGAGTCGCCGGATTTTTCGCCCTTCAGCCTTTGCATTCCAGATCATTCCAGCTTGTCACCGTGTTGTGCCTTGGGGGGGGGGGGTGGCTGTGGAGGTTTTTCCGAGTTGTGGGCTTTGGGGGTCTACACAAGTCCTGATGAAAAAAGGGGGTCTAGGATTTCAGTGTTTGGTGCCCATGCTCGGATTGAGACGTGGAGGACCGATTCTTCGAAACCCCAAATCCAGCCACCAAAACCCAATCCCCGGAGAAGCCCCCTAAACCCTAAGCCCTTGGAACAAAGTTTTGTTTCGCTCTTGCCTGGGTTCAGCAGGAGACCAACATGCTTCGCATGAAGAGCGCCTCCAATCTTCGGATGCTCGGCGTTCTGAGCCTGAATCCTAAGAGCAGCCAACCCTAAAGTTGCATAGAAACCAGTAGAAATCATCATTTTGATTGCCAAGCTGACTCTTTATGATGCTTTTCTTTGGTATATCTGTGCATTCGAAGTGCGTTTTTGGGGGGCTCGTTTTTGGAATTTGTGGGGTTCAGGTTGCTCGGGGGTTATGTAGGAGTGTGATGTTTCCGGCTTTCCCCAGACGGGCTCAGCTTAAGATCCTAAGCCCCAAGGCGCTAAGACCCTAAATCCTAAGCCCCTTACAAACCCTGCATAAACCCTGAAACTCTGGCTGCAGGTGGTTCGAGCCTGCGAGGTTTGCGAGATTTTCGGAAAATCGGTATCTTCGAACTTCAGAACCCTTCCGCCCTAAGCTGTGCATCCTCCCTACAAACTTCCCAAAATAACAGACAAATCCTTAAACCCTAAATCCTGAACCCTAAACCCGTGCAGCCCTATAAAGCCTATAAGCTTCCCAAAACAACACGAAAAATCCTTAAACCCTAAACCTAAACCCTAAACCCTAGTAGTAGGAGGCAAAAACCCCTAAACCCTAAACCCTAAACCCTGAACCCTGAACCCTAAACCCTAAACCCTGAACCCTAAACCCGAAACCCTAAACCCTAAACCCTAAGCGAAGCGGGTGGGAAAAAAACCCTAAACCCTAAACCCTAAACCCTTAGAGCACCGGGGGGTTTCAGGAGCCAAAGCCACGGGCGGTCGGAGCTCCAGCGGCCGGAGAGCGCCCCGGGAGCTTCCAGGCACCCTCTTTTTAAGCTAAGTCCTTAAATTATAGGGTATAGGGTTTAGGGTTTAGGGTATAGGGTATAGGGTTTAGGGTTAGTCTTTAAAATTCTTCACATGTGGGAAATGTCGGGTTTTCCTTTCTCAAGCTAAGTCCTTCTTCACAGTTAGGAAATATAGGGTTTAAGAACTATGTGGGTCAAGCTGGGCAGTAAGGGCAGCAGCCGAGTCCCTTGCGAAAAAAGGGTTAGTCCTTAAATTCTTCACATTTAGGAAATTTAGGAAATATAGGGTAGAGTTTAGGGTTAGTCCTTAAATTCTGAAGATTCTTCACATTTAGGAAATTTAGGAATTTAGATTTTAGGGTTTAGGATTCAGAGAGCTTCCAGGCCAGAGCTCGGCAAGTGTGGGAAAAAGGATTTAGAGTTTGGGATTTAGGTTTTGGGAAAAATGATCTAGAGTTTAGGATTTAGGCTTTGGGAAAAATGATTTAGAGTTTGGGATTTTGGGTTTTGGGTTTAGGGTTTAGGGTCCAGGGAATGCGCCTAATAGGGGGTTGCTATGAGGGTTCCTTCAAGAGTTGTAGTAGGGCTTGTTGTTTTAGGTCTTTTCGTAAGGGTATGGGTTGGTTTGGGTTTGAGGTTTCAAGCAACTTCCAGCAGGGCTTGCAGGGGATTAGGGTTGGGTTTCCGGGTTTACGGCTTTAAGCCTCAGGGTTTTGGGGCTAAAGGGCTTGGAGCTTTACGATTCATTGGTTTTAGCAGTCGTTGTTCTTATCTACTGCTCAAGCTCACAAAACCCGACGATCGGAATTCCAGGTTCTTGAGTGCGGATTTCCCGAAGTTGGTGTGGGACAGAAAATCTCTGAACCCTACATGCTGAGTGGGTTACTGTTGAGCCGTGCCAGCTGTGAGCGAGTGTGTGAGTCGAAAACTCACATGTACTATACAGGGGGGCTTAATACTTACCCATACATCCCATACTATTTTTTTTGAGGGGGGGTCCTTACTATAACTATAGTATAGTGGACCCCAAAAACCTTATTATAGTTATAGTATAGTGGGCCCCCAAAACCTTATTATAATTATTAAGGCCTCCTTTTTTTCACATGTCAAACGCCCATCGAATCTTTGACTGTGGGCCAGGTCGCTGAAAGCCGGCGCAGCAGCCGGGCTCGCGCCATAGAGGCGAGTCTTTTGAGGGGCTACTATGTATATAAAGGTCTTGAGTCCAAAACACCACAGATTGAGAACTTCACAGGGTTTAGGGTTTGGGGTGTAGGGTTTAGGCAGCTTCAATGCCCGCTGGTTTGTTTTTTCTGGAGGTGTACCTGGAAATCCCTGAATCTCGGATAGCCTGAGCCTTGACTGTGTCCACATGCCGTCTACAGCAAAGCCGACACCGCCTAGTAGAAGCCACGCAGTTGAGGGTATTTGGCTGGGGCCGAAGACTAAGACCGTAAACCCTTTGTAAAGCCTAACCTCCTAAACCCCCTAAGAGGCTGGTATTCACTGGCACAGCTGGGGTGATCCACAGCCACACACAGCTGAGCCGAGACAAAAACAGAGCCGTCTGACCGACTCACCCGAAAATTGAGGTTGACGGTTTTCGGGTCAGGGTTTAGGGTGTAGGGGCTGTGGATCCCACTTAATTAATAACTGTTACATCCGATCGCAGGTGCAGCCTCGTGTCAGTTGCCAGTGGAGACTCTGGAGCATTTGGGGCAGATGCCACGAGAGCCAGAAGCAATCAGCCCTAAACCCTAAACCCTTAAGCCGAGTGTGAGCGCCGAAAATTCCCCCAAATGCCCGAACTTTCCAGCCCGAAACAAAGCCCTCGAGACCAAGAGAGGTCGAAGCTTCAACCCCCAACCCAGAATTCCTCTGCTTGCATAGTATAGATATAGAATAGGCCGTCTAAAAAGGCACTCATCTTATGAGATTGAAACCATCTTATGAGATTGAAGCACCGGGGAAACGGATTTTCAGTCGCGAAGCAACGGCCTCGGAGTGCCTTAGGCTTTCTGAGGCCGATTTAGGGTCTCGGAACCTTCGCAAAGCGAAGACCGGGACTTCTTTTGCGACGGTCGCGACGTAGGCTCGGGGCTGATAGGGCTTGAAGCTCCAGGGCAAAGGTAGTGAGGAGGTACTAGGAGGAAGGGGTACAGCATTCCTGGCTAACACAGAGACCCCAAACCTTAAAACGCATAGTGCCCTTATTCCCACAAGTCTCGCCCTACTCAGATCCGTGCTGCTGCTTAAAGCGAGCTTATATGTAGGGGTTTCAGGGTCGGCATCCGGGGAGCCACTGCTGGAATTGCTTTCAGCTTTGGCATGGATTGTGGACTGTGTTTTTTTGGTGGTTATGTGCCCGTGTTGTTGTATCCAATAGCATCGAAACGGTTTCAGTTGTGCGAAAGGTTCTCCCGGAAGCCTCCTGCAATTGTCGCAACCCCGAGTGCTGCGCCCCAAGGGACGAGCAGGCATCAAAAGACTCCTCCAAGGAGGCACACGCGAGAAAACGAGACGTCTTGCAATCGGCTTCTTATTGACGCGTTCTGGTGATGCATGTGGGTTCGTTGATCACCTGTCATCGTTGTCGCGATTGTCACCGCATCGTGACCGTTATGGTGCGACCTGCGTGCGACCTCCTTGTCGTCCGCGTCCAGTTGTCGTTCTGAGAAGACCAGTACCATGAACACTTCAATCACCGTCGCGCCAGAAAGCGTTGGCTCGAGCGAGGCTTTGCTTCTGGATTCACAGGGCCCTCCTCCTCCTCCTCCTCGGCGATGATGAAGGTGATGCCGATGGTGGTGATGATGGTGGTGGTGGAGGTGGAGATGATGATGGTGGTGGTGGTGGTGGTCACGGTGATGGTGGTCACGGTGATGGTGGTGACGATGGTGCTGGTGATGGGTTGTATGGTGATGATGATGATGATGATGATGATGAGAGTGAAGATGGTGATTATGATGATAATGGTTGTTTTGAAGTGGTGAACATCAACATGAAGATGCTTCTGCTGATGCTGGTCTCGGTCATGCTAAGGAGCATGATGACAATGATGTTGACGATGGTAGCGCTTATGAGATTGTGATGATGAAGAGCTGGTGCTGACGTAAATATACTCTGAAGTGGGGATGTAGGTTTGATGTTGTTGTTGTTGTTGGTGGTGGTGGTGGTGGTGGTGGTGGTGTTGTTGTTGCTGTTGTTCTCAAACCCCTACCCGTTTGGCAAGGTTTCGGGTTGAAGCGTTGTGTACACAGTGTTTCGATCAACAGGGTGCATTTGCTCGATCCGGTTTGCGATTGGTGCAGGAAGCGAGTTCGCTGTATAGTTTCAGCTCGTATGTGTTTCGTTGACACACACAGGTTTGATCACCAGCCAGGGCGCAATAAAGACAAACGAACGCAGCAAAGACACAAAGACAGAGGGAGATTGAGAGAGAGAGAGAGAGGGAGGGAGCTGGGGTTCACAGTATGCGGATCTAGTGTTCATTGATCACGAATGCCAAGACCCCCAGTTGAAATTTTGTCGCCTACACCTAGTAGCCAGGTAGAAGCAGAAAGTAGAACGAGGAGCAGCAGCAGCACCATCACAATAGCACGATAGCTGTAGCAGTCGTCGTCGTGTCGTCGTAGCAGCCATAACAACTGTCATCACCATCATCGCCACGGTAGCAGCAACAGTCACTAATAACAGTAGCAGTTGATGCTTCTTCTTCTTCTTATGATGGGTAGTCGTAGTGGGTGGCAAGTAGTAGTCGCCGTCCTCCTCCGAGGCTGCCACAGCCTTTTCATGAACTTTATGTTCCAACTGTCAGCTACGAAGTGCAAACCAAAGTTGTTGGTTTACCTCTTGGCTGAGTGTTCTTGAGTAGAGGCCTAAACTTGGTGATTTTGACTGTCGGGGGCTTCCTTGTGGCCGAACGATTCTAATGTACTTAACATTGGAGTGGAGGTGCAGGTAGTGGGGGGTTGTGGTGGTAGTGCTGCTGCCCATGCCAGTGCTAGTGATAGGGGTAGTGGTAGATCATGAAATTCCCCACGGAGACCGATGCCTTCGGGGCCAAGCAGATGTAGCCGCAGGCGAGCAATGCTGGCATTAGCGTACCTATGTTTCCACCAAAGTATTTGTCAAAGCGGAATTTGTTTCACCTTGCGAGGTCATCTTCTGGATTCGATCCCGGACACGCCGGCGACAAACGGTCGGACAAGAAAAATCTGCAATCACGAGCACTTGTCGTGAGCTGGTTACAGGCATCCTGAATGGGGATTGAGTTTAATGCCCCAAACTAGGTACCCAAACAACGGCACCCACCTTCTAAACTGTACTTTATACATTGCTCATTGTAGCCACATCATTACAGTAGCTCGCAGGTGCATCGCATGGTTTGGCAATCATGTAGTATAATGTAGCCGCTGAGTAAAACAAGCATGTGCATTGCGGCATGTCCTGCCCTGCCAGACTCAGACGTACGTGGTGTCATGATCCGGCAACTTGAATTGAAAGCCTTTCCCCGGCTTGACTCTCACGCCGTGCATCACCAGATATGGGGGTTTCTGATAATAGGGGACCCCAATATAGTACCCCAAATAGTAGGGTCCTTATTATAAGGAACCCCAAAATGAGGTACCCCTTCCTTTCGGAAACTCCCATATGTCTTCAACCGCAGAGCCGGAATGTCAAAAGACCTTTACAACCCGTGTGCACAACCCATACCGCTAGCATTCCGCAGCTGTAATTTCTCTTGTTGCATACTTACGACTCATTTTATATTGAGGATATGAGACTGAGGAGCCTGACTATACATCAGAAGAACTTGGCAAACAAAACTGTAAGTTGTCCTTGGTCCTTGGGTGTACTGTCGAGGTGTCTAGAGCAAGATGCAGTACATGTTTGGTCCCAACAACAAGCACCATGAAATTAGTTTGTATCATTTTTCCCATGAGCTTCATTGCTGAGCCGATGTTACTAGTCTTTCATGAGGGGTATTGGGTTATTCTGCGTAGAATACTGGACATCACAGTCCACCTGCTTGGGGCTCGCCGCCAATGGGAAACGTTGACAGCATTGAAAGCTGCGAGACATGCTGCGGAAGGACTGGGCAGCCCCTCAGCAGCACAATTGCAGCTGAATGGGGCGGGGGGGGGCAGTAAACCCTAAGCCATAAGCTACCACGCCGTGTGCACAGCCGTAGTATTTCTTCGGACGAAGGATTTTGGGGTCAACAAAATACGTCGCGGTTCTATCACATTAAGGATCCTGAGATGGGAACGGAATTTTCAAGACTCGTCAAAGCCTGACGGCTTGATTCTGGCGGAATCAGTTCTCCCGGACGGAACAGCAGAACCTGTTGGGCCTAATCAGGGGGTCCCTGAACATCACGGTGTTTGTTTCCCTGATGTCTTCAGCAGATTTTGGGTTTGTCCCATAAGCGTCCACTACCCCCAAGCATTTTTGCATCACATCCTCAAGTGGTATTCTGAGATCCTTTGTATTCAATCTGAAGCTCAGGGTCCTACCATGACACCTCACAACCCAGGAACCATGAGCTCCGCAAGCCCTCACACCACACATCTTCAAGCCTGAATCCTTCCAGCCCCAATTCCAAACAACCGTCAGTCCTAAGCTTAAATTTCCGGATGCCAGACCGGGACGCCCTGACTCCATAGCCCCCTGAAAGGTTCGAGTTCGATGAGGGCCGAATCCTCAGAGAAAGGGGGGAAGCAGAGGTTTAGGGCGTAGGATCTCTGGGTCTTGAGCTTCATGGTCAATAAGTGTTTCCCGATATTGCGAGGGCCTTTATTTTGCGTTAGTCTGTCTCTTCCGATCACCTGCCTGGACTTCATCATGGGTGACTTCATCACGAGTGTTCGGCTGTTTCAGGGTCTTTGCTGCAGAGGGAAATGGCAGAGGGAATGTGGACGTGAATGCCGAAATGCGTCCGCCTTCAGTTCTGAGCTTCCAGTCCCCAACCCCGAAAACTAAAGAACCAACAAATTGGCTCCTTCAGTTTTGACACCCGACAGCATTCCCAAAGCCTGCACCCCGTTCCCAGACGTGTCGGAGTTCGCTCGAGTCCTCCACTACGCCCTCCACCTAGCCCCCTTCCATCGCAGCCCAGGATCCACTCTTTGTGAGTCTAAAAGCCTTGTTTTAGGAGTGCGTGGTGATGGTGATGTCCTGGCCCAACCCGAACCTCTTTCGAAAGTTTGCAAAACCTTATATATATATATATATATATGTATACATATATATATATATATATACATATGTTATGTAAAGTATGCAAACATTTGCATACACACACACATAAATATACACAACATGTTTAGGAGTTTGGGCAAAAGCGAAATATGTTGCGGCCTGCAGGTCAAGGTCGGCGCGCCCCTGAGTATCCGACGAGTGTCTCTCGGCTGCGGAGATGAGGTTCAGGGTTTAGGGTTTAAGTAAACCTTAAACTCCGGGCGAAGTGGAAAGCCTGTTGCAAAAAGTAAACCTTAAACCCTAAATACCCTAAACCATAAACGCGTTTACCAGTTCTAATTCAATGCGTATTCTAATTCAACGCTCAACCTTCTACCTGAGCTGAGCCTTTGAGGGCAGCCCTTTCTCCAATTTCGAACATACCTAGGCTATGTTTGCTCATGAGACATGTCCCTAGGTCATCTGTTCTTCGTGACCCTTGCTGTAGTTATTCATACTTTGAGGTTGGAGGACACAGTCATGATGCGCAACACTTGTACACACCCGGCCTGAGCTCCTCCGTCAGTGCGGACCCCGGTTATCTTGTAATGGTTTCGTTGGGGATAGTGGCCCACGCTTGGAGGAACTCTTGCTAGGAACGGGGATACCGACGGGGCGACAGTCTTTCTACGTTTACTGGTTGTAACTTGGCTTTGGCGTGGCCTTTCGGAAGACTGTGAGCCTCCTGGGAGTCCCCTCAATCTCTAGTAACGTCCGACGAAACTCCCTGCGGTGCGACTTTGTCAGCTGGGCGGGTGGGAAAAAAACATTTAGTCTGGCTTAGTTTTTGTTTTGCGGTTTAGGGTTTACAGGCTGTGGCTTTGGTACTTTCAGGGTTTGGTAGTCGGGATTTGGGATGTGGGGGTGGTCCTGGTCTAGCTGCCTAGCTTTTTAAGGCTTGCGGGCGTGAGCCTTCCTGGCAGTTAGGCTTGTGGAGCCTTTGACCTCGCACTCAAACCGGATTAGGGTTTAGGGTCTAGGATTTAGGGCCGATAGCTAATTCGATACCGAAGAAGCTTTTTGGAGGGTGGGTTGATCGACAGAACAGACCTGGCCCCTGGGCTGGGGGAGCCATAGTGCCATAGAGGGGGCTGGATTATAGGTACAGCAGGCTGGACATAGCTTTCGTTTCGCTGGGATGAGTTCGGTTGTCTAGGCTTACGAGTCAAGTTCTGGGGTTGAGGGCTTCAACTCCAAGTATCCGAGCTGCTCCGGGGACTTGCCACGCAGATCCTTCGAAACTCCGTCTCTGCGGTTTTGATTCTGCGGAGTTCTGGGTTCCAGGTTTGATCCGCTTCCGAGAGTGTAACAGACCTAGAAGCCTCATAACCCTAAACCCTATACGGCCTCGTGCGAGTGTGAGAGTCGAAACCCTATACAACAGAGCAAAGGAGACGGAGGTCTTCACCCAGGGCCCGGCGAGACTGGACCCGCGCCACCAACTCGCAGCGCCTTCGTCGACCATGGCTTCGGCAGTTCGGGACGCGGGTCTCCTTACCATGATCTAGAGGCCCTAAGGAATTATGTTAGTGTTTTGGGGGTTCCCAGCTAGAATTGTATTAGAGTATACCCCAAAACCTTATTCTAATCCTTAAGACCCCTCTATTACCTTTGAAGCTTGGGGTTTATAAGCTTTTGAAGACGTTCGGGCCATTAAGTTGCTGTGGATGTCACACCGCACCAGACGTGGTTCAATGAGTCTTGGAGGCTTCAGGTTCTTTGGACTTGGGGTTCTGAGTCCTTGGGCGTTTCGGGTTTCGGGCCTTCCGACCTCTGCCTCCCGGCGTGGCGGGGGACGGGGTATTGGGGTTTGGGGATTGGGGCCTGCGCTCGAAATTCCAAACCTTGGATTCGGTTTGCCGGCAAGGCCGAAAGCTCTAGAAGAACCCCCTAGACAGTACCCAGCCCTGATAAAGACTCATAGGAAACCCGAATAGAATCTTGTTGACCCTCTCAAACCCCTTCTGCCCTCAAGTCTGAATGCTGTTTTGGAGCGTCTTGCTTTGTCTTGCATCTGCAGCCTTCACTTCATAACTTCAGGGTTTAATGGATTGTTCTTCATTGTGTGTTGTGGGCTTTTTTGTAGCCCTATAAACCCTAAGCCCTAAAACGCGGGCTTCGTCCTAGCTCGGTGGGAGGCAAAAAACCCTAAAGCCGCAAACCCAGAGCCTTTTACACTGAGCTCGCAGACTATGCTCAGGCCTTCCTCGGAAGAGGCGACGAACAAGGGCCCGATGGGTTCCTGAAGCAGCCACTTGGCTTGAGGGTTGAGGCTTTATAGGTTGTTGGGTTTAGGGTTTAGGGTTTAGGGTTGAGGCTTTATAGGTTTTTGGGTTGGCCCATGGCAGAGCCCGTTGATTTGGGCGGTTGCAGGGTTTGGGGGTTTCAGTGTCTGGATGAGTTTTCGGGTTTGGGATCAGATCAGGGCTTTGGGCACCGGGCTTGCGATTCGGGCTTTGGGGATGTTTGGGGCTTAGTGTTGCATTTCGTGTACTACCTTTGTGCACCTCCGTTGTAGGACTTTTCCCAGAGACCCCATGCTAACTTTGCTGGTCACCAATGTATGGACTTGGTTTTTGAGTTTGTGATGCTATGTAATACTCTTCCTCAGGGTACGAATATATTGGCAGTACGAAATCAGAAACCTACAACAACCCTTAATTCGGGCTTCTGTATCAGATTGCCTTGGGCTTGATGTCAAGGTTTCAACGCTGAGCGTCTAGGAGGGTGGCCCGAAACCCGGCCCGTGCGGCTTTTCTGGGACGTTCAGGTCAATATCCGGTGGCATGAGGAATTATTCTGGGTGATCTTATTCCGCTGGCGTAGCGAATGCCTTCATAGTACAAACACCACCAAACCCCTAGGCACATTGGTATGCCTTCCAATTTCGAGATGTAGGGTTCAACCCCACCCCCCCCCAAAGAAAAACAGCTGAAATGACCGCACGTTAACCCAAGCATAACAGGGTCCCTTTCAATGGGATGCATTTTGGGCCTATCACGCAAGAAGGCCTTGCAAGTCCAGAAATCGAACCTCAAACTTCCCGCGGTCTTAGAGAAACACTCAGAAGGCGCCATAAAACCAACGAAGTGCAATTTTGAACACACCCCCTTCCGAAGGAACCATGAAGCTAACCCTACACCCGAAACCTAAACGCTCCGCGTTTTGCGAGGAAGGGCCTTCTGCCGGGTCGCGAAGAGACTAATTGGTTCGCCGTCTTCCGGCCAACAAGCGCTCCTTGTCGAGAGATGCCTGAAGTTTTGTGTGGGCCCCCTGTGGCACTGGAGATATTTGAAGAGAAGTCATGTAACAAACTAGCACAAACAGAATCCATCTAAGTAAGGATGACTGGTTTGCAAGTGTGTGTGTGTGTGTGTCTGTATGTTTAGGTTGACCTGGTGGATTTGTTTGAAGCCATCAGTTCATTCGGTTTTCGTTTATGTATTGCATGTTCGGGGGGAGGGGGCTAGGGCATGAGTCTGCCGCTGTCTTCATTTCAGAGGAGTCGTGGTTGGTCGCCGGTGCAGAAAGACTTCATTTAAGCCTACGGCGGCCCAATCGAACAGATTGAAACTCTTGAAGCTCGAAGCTGGAACCCAAACTCCTAAACCGTAAAATCAAATCCCAAACCCTACAACCCTCAACACATACAGCTGAAATCCTAAACTACGACATCCTATAGACTATAGGCTCGACCCGATGAGGCAGATGCCATTTCCAAGATGATGGATGGCCAGGGTACTGGCAAAGGCCTCAACGTAAAGGGCAAGTCTGCAAAGACAGGCTGCCTTTCAGGCCCCGGCTGGGTCTGACCCAAGATTTGGTAAGGCGTTGCGTTGGGACATGTGGGCTTGCCCTGAAAGGCCCGGAAGCCGGCTCCCGTGCTGTGGTCTATAGGGGCTTAGACGGCTGTGTCCTAGGTCGTGCTGTTCGAGCGGTCTATGGGCGTTGGAAGCAGCAGGGTGCGCACTTGTATGTTTTCTGTGGTTCCTTCAAGCTACGAGCCTCAGAACTGTGTCTTCCTAGCTTAGGTGACTGGCAACAGCTGTCGAATGACACTCCTCTGGTGCAGTGTTTCGTGGTGCAGTGACGCCTAGGGCCTAAAACCTTAGACCAGATATAATAAGCCCAAAGCATTCAGATCTTCAAGCCTACCAGAACATTGAACAACGTCACAGTCTTTGATCTGCCATGTCAACCCCCCCTTTATAACATAGTATGTTATAGTTATAACTCATAGTATAGCTCTGCCCACAAAATCGAAAACTGGCAGGGTTTCTCCGTGCCAGGTTTTGTGCCTGTGCTGCAGATCAGTGACAACGAGCACAAGTCGCAGGCCGCTCACATCTAAAAAATATAGCCGCTGGTTTCGTAAATTGTAGCTTTTGGTGTTTCGTTTCAGGTCGTAGGGTCTCTGCAGATTGAAAACTTTCAGAGCCACAGCAAATCTTGCAACAGCTTCATTTAACTGCATGTTCGTTCCTAAACCCTAAACCCTAAACCCTAAACCGGCGTCCTGGACCGAACAGCTCGGCCCTTACAGAGAGCACCCTGAGCTACACTCCAGTTCCCATGATAAAGAATCCTCATCCCAAACCTTCATATGATAGTAGATTATAGTTCTAGTTTAGTACTGTTAGCATATGTTGGTGGTTATAGTATCTTATAGTTATGTTATAGTATTTTGTAGCCATAGCATGGTATGTTGTATCTTGTTACATCATGGAAGATTTTCTATGAGTGACACTGGAGCCACTGAGCCGACCAAGTGATCTGTACAGTCGCGGCAGGGCCGTTGGGGCGAGCCATGCTTGGTGTGGACTATGTTGGTTTAGGGTTTAGGGTTGAGGTTCTAGCTTTCAAGGTTTCGGGTGTAGAGTGCCTTGTAAGGTTGAGATTCGAACAGTGCTTTACCTTCTGAGCTTCGGGGTGTTGGGTTTGCGGATTCGATCCAGGCCCCGAGTGTAAAGAGAACACGGCACTCTTAAACAATGACAGGATGGTCGGCTGTTGCGTTTCAGGCTTAGTTAGGTGAGTTGGAATGGCACGTTTAGCAGAAGGTGCACAAGTCTTAAAAGGTACAAGGAAATCACAGTGCAGTCTTCAAATGCTTCCGCATTTCTCCGCACAACTTTTCTATTCTTGGCCATACTACAGCAAACAACGAAGTAGCGGTCAGATCAGTTCAAGCACCGGGCAATAAGGACCCTTAATGCTGATGTTCTGGATTTCACTGCGGGCGTTTGAAAACCCTTCAGGTCTGTATTCTGGATGTCTTACTTGGGAGCGTTTTTTTTGGCGTAACCGACGTCGTAACATGAACTTAGCCGGACGCAGGTCTGCACCTCGCCCCGCGAGGCTCGGGTACGACTTCCGGCGGCAGCCATCAAAGAAACCAGTTCAAGCAAACCCCGACCATGTTGGACATAGTTGGTTTTTTTTTCTTTTTTTTTGTTGTTGTTGTTGTTTGTTCTCTCTCTCTCTCTCTTTCGCTCACACACACAGTTGCACCTACTTTTGCGCCCATGACCTTTCGCTTCTGGAGCTTGCCCCTGTTTGGTGTCAGGTTGAGGTGCACGCGTTGCATCACATGGTGCGTCCAGAGCTTCAGCTCTGCAGCCGTATAGCCTCATTCTAGGCTTGGGATGTAGGGAAGTAGCTCTGTGGCCCGGAAACAGAAAACGAGCTCAAAGCGCCGCAGAAAGGTCGCAGTGCAGTCGTCGATATCCAGAAGTCATAACCATAAGCTCCAGATGTATCTCACACACTTTTCTAGCAACGGAGAACTCCGGGATTCCCACGTGCTCAGCCTGAAACTCTATCTATAGTCTCCGTTGTAGTTCCTTTTTTTGCTGTACCAATTATATATTTAGGATTTCATAAGGTACCCCCCAAAAAGGAACTACAATGGAGACTATAGGTAAGGCCTGAAATCTGAGTGGAGCCTTGAACTCAGGAGTGTATTACCAAAGCGACGAACATCGAAGTGTAGCGCTCTTCCGCCTCCGCAAGGCTTGGACCCGGGCGGTGGTTGGCATACGGGGCTTCCCGAAATTCGTGAATAATCTAGGGGCCTAAATAATTACCAATCCTATTCTTGTTATATAGTGTATATATATATATATAAACCCCAAAACCTTATTCTAATTATTAGTTAAGGCCCCTATCTTATCTTCTTGTATCGGTCCTTCGGAGCTGGCAAGGCCCCGAGTACTCCCATAGAGTCCTGAAGGCCCGATTTTGTTTTTTTTGGAAACCCCCAATATAAGGGTTTAGGATTTAGGGTTTAGGATTTAGGGCTTAGGGTTTAGGATTTAGGGTTTAGGGTTTAGGATTTACGGTTTAGGATTTAGGGTTTACAGTTTAGGATTTTGGGTGTAGGATTTAGGACTTAGGGTTGAGGGTTAAGGTTCAAAGCTACCGGGGCTTTAGGCTCCGGATTTCCAGGGATTGCGGCTTGGAGTGCAGGCGCCTTTGGTTGCTTCTTCTTTCAAGACGTGTTTTTTTGGAGGGTTGAGGGTTCCCTGGCCTCGATAAGTTTAGGGGTTAGTGTTTAGGGAGCTCAAGGAAACAGCAGTTGGTCCTCAAGCAGGGTACGGGAGAAGGACATCGAGTTTTCAAGCTCTACGACAGAAGCCAACAGAGAGGACTCTCTACCAGTTGCGATTCCTAGAACTCCGACCAGTGCTGTAATACAAAGCCATATGCGGTTTAGGGTTTAGGGCATTTAGGGCTGATCAGCGGAGTCTGGGTTCAAAAAGTTGAGGGTTTAAGCCCGAAACATACTTTTGAGCCGCTCTGAGGTCTAATGCCAGAAACCGCTCAAACATGGGAACGATAGCAAGGGCTCTGAATGATACAAGGGCTCGCCCACCGGTCACGGCTTTTGGCTTAAATCCTGAAAAACCCTAGTCTTGCACCACACACCCTCAGGCTACGGGGTGGGCAACTCGTTCATTCCACAGCGTAAACGTTGAGACCCAAACCGTAAATACCAAACTCAAATTCAGAGCAAAACGGTTTCATCGAAATCATCGCGAACTTCAAACTTCTCAAACCCGATTTACAAAGCATGTTTCTTAGACACCCTAGTCACCAATCATAGTTCTTCAACCCATAAACCCTAAAACCTCTCAGGTGCTTGCGGAGATGCTACGCTTGTCCGAGGCAGCAGTGCAGCGACTGGAGGCGCATCAGGCACCTTCCGCGGCTTCGGTTGATTGGTTCAGGGTCAGTCACCCAAAGGGTCCTAAGTACCTATATCGGGCATATTTGCCCAATCCATGATTATACAAGTTGCTACGAACCCCTAGTTCTTTCACGTAGGAACTTAGGGTGGTAAGTGCGCCTAAGGATTGAGGGTTCCATATCTTGTTTTGGGGGTTTGGGATTCGACTCCTCCTGTGCAACGCGCTGATGAAAGTCTTTCCCTGTAGAGTCGCTGCAGACCGGATGCAGAAGGGTTGGGTCGATTCAAGTGAGGTGCCCAAAAGGACATTTAATGTAGGGGCCTTCACAATTAGAGTAGGGTTTGGAGGATATCATACTATACTTATAATAAGAAGCCCCCCAAACCCAATTCTAACCATTAAGGCGCCTACATTAGGATAAAGTTGAGTGCGAGGGTTTGGGATTTCAAGGTTGCGGCTTCGGGATCCGAGGGTTGTCCTTGATTCGTAGACCTAGAATCAACCATGTACTGAAACAGTATGGACCCCAATGCTTTGCTCAAAATCAACACAAAAGGGCCCTGTGTTTGCCTTTTGTCAATTCGGAGCTTGACGCATGTTGGCTGTTCAAGTCTCTTCGAGGGCTGGGGCTTGTAGGTGGTGTTGTATCAGTGGGGGTTTCTGACACGGTATGTCTAACCAGCTTTCCGTGAGTGTGGTTGTGTGTGCGCGCGCGAGCTTGCCGCCGGGCCGTGGACTTCGCTTGTTCCTTTTGCTTGGTTTTGGTTGCCCTGGGTTGCGGGCTTTGGGGGTGAAGCTTCTTACCTACGCTGCCATGTCCTAGCGGAGAGATGTAGGAGGCGGACACCTGTGGCACCTCGCAACACCCTGCCACTTCATCTGCCCTGAAGATGCAAACTCGTGAGTCAGCCCAAACCTGCTATTCTGACAAGCTCCAACTTAGATGTATGACGAACCTCCAACTTCCAGCTCCGTCGGTCCTGTGAATGCCTCAGTGCAAGCAGGCTGGCACCAAAATGCTTACCGACGAGGCAGAGAGATTTGCATTCATCGAGTTGCTCCTCCAGGCCAGAGCTAAATCGGGGCGCAGTGGAGGTAGTAGCCGAGGTTCTCGTGGCACGAAAACGTGTGTTTCCGCAATCAAAACCAATCTCCCGGGCTCAGGGTTCACGGGCTTCGGGTTTCGGGTTCAGGGCTCAGGGTTCGGGATTTTACAACCCCCCGCTCTGTAGCAGCATGGTCGTAGTTACATTCCTAAGCCCCTAAACCTAAACCCGAAAGGGTTTAGGGTTCTGGGTTTAGGGGTGACGTTCTAGGGCTTAGGGTTTAGGGGTGAGGGCTTAGGATGTTTAATTTGGTTAGGGCAGCTGAACGGCGAGATGGGCGGATGTATTCCCCTTCCCGGCTTGCTCCTTAGCTACCTCAAGAGCAGAGTGTAGATGTAACCAAAAATGCTCCCCAATTCCGCACACTGCTACAAAAACTCTATTCTGAAAGGAGAGAAAATCATTCGTTTCACACTCATGTTGTCCTTATTTTCGACTCAAGGATAAACCCGGAGCTCGTGAAAGTCTATCAGTGCGACCACGAAAACGGCGACAACGCGCACAACCACCGCACCATAGCCCAAGGTCCGCCCGTTCTTGTACCATACGCACAATATGTAAAATGAGCCGAAGGTGACGAAAACGACGCAGGCGTGGTTCTCGGGGGTCAGGATATTTGACAAAGGGCCGGCCGACTCCTACACACATTCAGCAAGTTGCGCCTTCTCCCGACATTAGGCTGGCAAAGACTCTTCCCTATTTAGAGACTTGGCCTACATTACCGCCGCATGAGACCAACAGAGCCTTAAAGAACGTGTTGGGGGGGGGGGGGGTAAGCTGAAAGCCCAATAGACGGAGTGCTGTTCAAAACGCGGCATCAAAGACTGAACCAGAAAGGACTGCTCCCTGAATGCACCCGAGACCCTCACGGATGATGATGATTGTGAGGAGAGCTGAGACCAAGTGCAGGTAAACCTCGGGCTACGGGCACACGGCGACGACGACAGCATGGACGTAATACCACCACCACAACAACTTCAGCAGTAGCTACGACTAGCGAATTACTAGTTGGTGAAGCATTGGAGTCTACTCGTACTTGTTGGGTTTTATTGCCTGTCACTTTAACCAAGATCGAACTGCTGGATCCCTTTCGCTGGTACACAGGTACGTGGCAGGTGTGACGAAAGTGTTAGTGCATCGGTTATCAGCCAACGTCGATCTTCAGTCCGTGAGGCTTTGGCCTCGTGTAGGCATGCGCCTGGGATCAAACCCGTCCATGAAAGCAAAATCATACAGCTGCAGCCTGCAAGCTCCCTGTAGCACCAAGGCCCACGGCCTAAACCTAAACTTGGACCACTGAACCATGCACCTCTAAAGCCCCTTTAAGACCGAGTCACCAGGTCGAAGACCCTTCCATTATCAATCTGAACCTGTACGAGCCCGAAGCTTTTGGCCTGGACTGGGTTTCAGGTTGTTTTTGTGACATTGGGTTTCCGGCATTTCTCCCATTACCGAAGTCGGAAAGCTGCATCCAAACATAGAGGTTGGCACAGTTTAGTCTAGTAACTGTTTCCACTTCTAGTCTCAATATAGAGCTATGAAACAACATATCCAAAACCCGAGTCGAATTATTGTTGGCCCCTGTGTCGGAGTGCTCAACCTTGGAGCTTGCAAACTGCAAGCATGCCACACCTAAGTCATCGGTTATCAAAACCTGACGCCTGAAACAGCCAATCGCTAAAACCGAAACCATGCAAGAGAACACACTTCAACTCAACCAGTTTCTAAGTGAAAAGTGTGCTCTAGGATGACTGGATCTTGGCATGTGCGAGCTTCGGGTCTTGCGCTTTGGGGGACCAGCTAGTCAGGCTGGGGATGAGGCGAAAGTGGTTCATTCCGGGTTTAGGAGTTGAGGGTTGATGGCCTGGCACTTCTGGACCACAGCAGCTCTTACCGTAAATGTTATGTTGCTGCAAGATGGTTAGGGTTTCCATACCTGAAATCCAGCTGCCGGTGGCTACACCCGCTTAGCATGCTAAAGGCATTCGGACGACCAGGACAAGGTCCAGGGTGTAGCGAATTTCACAAGAGCGGGCACAGTGGCCACGTCTAGCTAGCTGATACTAATGCCTGATAGTGCAACCACCACTTGGCTGGCAAAGCCTTCAGCAGAAACCCCCAATACCGCTTTTACCCTGAAGCGGTAGCCCAAACCTGTCAGGCGTTTGCCCCAAGACCTCCATGTTTTGAATTTGCGGCTGAGGTTTTTTGCTGCAACGCCCCTCCCCGAACACTAAACCCTGGCGAGGACTTGCCAGAGCGCCTGTTTCGGGAGGTGTCACCTCATCTGCAATTTCGTCCCGGTTGCGATGCTTCAGTTCTTTAGACTTCGGGCTTTGGGGAATGTATTGGCTTTAAGTTTGGGATTATGGTTGCATTTTATTCCTCTGTGCCTGAAATTGGATGTGACAGAGCGCTCTGTTGCTGGTCCTGGCCGGCGACTTGGTGGTAAGGTTTTGATCCACAAAGGTACCGGAAGGGGTTATGCAGCGTAGTCCTTCGGCTATCAGTAGTTGCAGCGCAATTCACGAGTGTAGGCTACTTTGCAAGCAGTATCGGGCCGCTGTACACTGTACTCTAACACCCGAGACCCGAAGCCCGAAACCCACGACCCAATTTCTGAAGTGTATCTCTCAAAGCAACCCCCCCCCCCTTGTAGGCATCGATCCTAGCCATGCGAGAGGGAATGAACTCACGACCCCAGCACTTGAAGTCGGCTTTTCCTAAGATTGCGGTCGACTGTCAACTCTACATCTACATGTGCGGTTTAAACTTGCTTGATAGCGGTGCCGGTCTTGCGGCCCTTGTGTGTCTATATGTCAGTCCAATCCTTGGCGCTCGCACAGCGAAGACAACATTGAGAACTTTGCATATTGATGCTTTCAGCCAGAGGGTTTACTCTCAAGTTTAGTTTTTATAGGCGGGTCTTGAAATTTGAGTTTGTCTCGGCTTGAGGTCTGATTCGGCATGTATAGGGCTTAGGCGTAGGGCCCTTTTCTTTTTTTTTTTTGGGGGGGGGGTTCGGTTTGGACCGAGGTATGTGGCGCAGCCGGACATCTCCCGACATGGGGCTTGGCAGACTGGACGGGCCTCGGAGCCGGCGTTCATGGACATGAGGCCTGCTTGCAAATCGGGCTCCAGAGCCTCCTTACCTGTAACCGAAAAGACCTACCTTTTGAAGGAACTATCTATCTATCTATCTATCTATCTATTTATTATGGTTTATATATATATATATATTATATATATGTATTATAGAAACCATGGTAAGGAACCCGGAACCCTAAAAAGGTGGGTCTTTTCGGTTACAGGTAGGCTCTACCCTAATCCCTGATCAGGCCCTTATCCCTTAAACCGAGACCCTTTAGCCCACATGCTTCGCCTGGATTGTCTGAGTGTGAGCCCCGAAACCCTGAACGGCACTAGGGATTAGAGAGGTTCCGGGGTAGGCGATAAGTGTGTGTTTTTGGAATAGATTCTGGAAAAATGTCAGATATGGTTCAAGCTCGAATGTGGGTCTGTTCAACATCAGAGGACCCGAGCCATGACAACCTGCAACACGACTGCTCGTGACGAGATGGGGGTTTCCGATCATTAGGGGTACCGTCCTTATAAAGGGATCCTACTATTTAGGGTACTATATTAGGGTCCCCTATTAAAGGGATCCTACTATTTAGGGTACTATATTGGGGTCCCCTATTTTCGGGAACCCCCAGATGGAACTCGCAGTTTGAGCCCTCCGCCGCAAATCCTTGCCACAAGCCCGTGAAAGCCTAAACTGTCACACTGAAACCTGGCGAATCTCCAGGCTCCAAAGGCAGGAAGGCAAGCAATGCAGGAGCGTCAGATAACCCTAAACCCTAAACCCTAAACCCTAAACCCTAAACCCTAAACCCTAAACCCATGCCTGCTTCTCTTCGACGGAAGACAAGCAAAGGCCAGCCTCTCCTCTTTGCCGACACTCCCGATGTAAGCCGTTCTTTAAGCCCCGAACCCCATGCCCAAGTTCTTGGACCTGAAGGTTTAGGGTCTAGGGGTTCAGGGTTTACAGGGTTTCGGGTTTCAGGGTTTTGAGTTTAGGGGTTAGGGGTTTAGGGTTTAGGGCTCGAAGAAGAACTGTCCCAACAGCCAAGGAACCTCTACGTACTCAGCTGCCTGGCTTCGCAAGTCTGACCTGTCTCGGAAGCCTTCAACATGAGCGGCTCAGAGTAGGAAGAGCTTCCGAAGATATTGCCCCGGAACCCTAGCCTGCTTCCCAGCAGCCCGGAAACCTATGCCGGAAGCCTGGGTCACCCTGAAACCCCCAAACCACGCGGATCAAGCCCTGAACCCGTGTTGGGAATTCAAAGCCTAAAATGGTAAGCTGCATCTTTAGGTGTTCCACACCTATATCTATATATAGATATAGATGATATGTATATATATATATATACACATACATACATATATATATATATATGATATATAAATAAATAAATAAATAAATATATATATATATATATAAATATATGATATATATATATATATATGATATATATATATATATAACGTGTCTTTCATCGGGCTTTTTGTGGAGATCCACAAGAGGGCCGTAGCAACCCTGAGCCACAACCTCAAGCCCTATAAACCCTACGAACCCTCTGAGCCCTCCGCCCTCAACCCTCAAACCATAGACCAAGGAGATGTTGAGGCTTCTCCCCGGGCTGTGATGTGGCAGAACGACTCGGAGGACCAAATGGTTGCTGTTCGTTGCGGAGGGTTGGGCATAATGTTGTGGTTTTTTTGGGGGGGGATAGTAGCAGTGAAAGTCATACCTCCCTCTGGGTAGCTGAAGTCGTTGGTACTACGTGCCAGTGCGGATCCCTTTCAAGATATTGGCACCTTGCAACGGTTGATGCCCTGGCTGCCTAGGGCCTAAGTCGTGGCTATACCCAGCAAAGCCTGCGCACATGTTGCCCGAACCTGTGGAGTGTTGATCTTCGCCCTCCGTACCGTCAGTTGGCCGAGAGTTGGTTCAACCAAGGTGCCTGAAAATGTTCAGAAGCTTACAAGCGGACAGCTCTTTTGTTTCAGGATGCTCTGAACCCCCTCAGCCTGCTCATGGCGTACGAGGAGGAGAAGGCGAGGAAATGAGAATTGCAGGAATGCTCGAGTCCGGCTTGGTTCAGTACGTGAACAAAGCTTATCAGTCGTAAACTGTGCAGTTTCTTCCGATCATCAAGCTGCTGAGGAGCCGTGCGGCACCCGCATCCAGAACCTTAAGCAGATGAGATCCCCTTAAGATTATAGGTTTAGGGGGTAGGTGCTTAGGGGCCGTCAAAGACCTCGGGTTGTGGGCATGCTGACAGGTGAAGCCAGTCGTTTCCGACTTCGATGCCTTCATGCTCGGTTGCACCGTGGCTCAGGTACTCGTAGAAAGTTCTGTTGGCTTGAACTGCGCGTTGAGGAATCGGAGGGGGCTGTAAGCTGTAGGGGAGTTTTCAGGAGATTTCATAGAATTCGGAGGATTAGTTTTTGGGTGGTGGTGTTTGTCAGCAGTAAACCAATAATGTACGTCTAGCATAATTAAGCACATACAGACATTCATACATACACATACACATAGACACACGCACGCACACACACACACAGACTGTGCACGTACATATACAATGTGTTTCATGCACACGTACATACATACACAGTTGCACAAGCTCATAGATACACGCATACGTGCATGCATACATACACGCGTACGCGCATGTACATGCAGCACGCATGCGCCCCAAGATACATACTTGCATGCCTGCATACATGAATGCATGGTGCGTGCATGCATCCATACATACAGGCAGATACACAGGGCATGGATAGGTTTATGCATACCTGCATACATGTGTGGGCTGGTGAATGGACGGATGGATCGATAGATGTGTATGTCAGTGTATGTATGGCGACACGAAGCTGGAAAGCTGGACAACACTTACCACAACACCCTCACCACGAAACGACCACTGCCCAACTACGAAGCATTTGCCTCCGCCCCTCTTATGCCTGAAACCTTCATGTCTTTCCACCCCAGCTTCAACTGTCGACCTCCATCGGCTTTAGGCCAGGGGTTGGCCGCAGCCCCAAACCTGAAACTAATTCTACACCCCACACACGAGGCCATAACCTCGGCATCCGCTTTTCTGCAGTAAGGCTCGGGCAATATCCGCTTCGAGCCCCTTCCACCAGACCAAGTGGACATGATGCGCCTTGGCTTTAGGATCTGGAGCAGATCAAGTGCTATATCTCTCAATTTCAATCTGGGGTTTGGAGGTCTTGTCATATAGAAGCAAAAGAAGGTGCACACCTCACACCCATCAGCCCCACAAGTATGCACACCCCCCAATTGTATCAGCCCCACAAGTACCAATCATGTTATCAGGCGTTCATACATGGTGGCAGAGCGAAAAACACTGCCCACTGTAAGAGCTACGATGCCAGCCTCCGAAAGCCGTAAGCCTGAAGGGTCAGAGGTATTTTTTGAGGCTTCTTACACAAGCTTACACAAGACCACAAGAGTAATTCTACAGTTCAATCACGTAGATCGGGTTACTTGCGCCATACCATCATAGTAATTCCTGAAATTGGGACCCTTCGTTCTTGAGCCCAAAACAGCAACATGGGCCCGCAACACAACAACAAAGCACAGACTGAAACCCTTTGCTCCTTTGGAAAGAATGTTCAAAGCCTAGGAAGTGGTGCCTGGGTCACATCGAGGAAGTCCTTTCCACCCCCAGCAAAACAGGACCTGACCTTGAGGGGAAGAGGGTTTAGGGGATTTTGGGTACAGGATGTGTTTAGGTTTTAGGGTTTAGGGGGTTTAGGGTTTGGGGTGGTTTGGGTACAGGATGTATGGTCTAGCGTTTGGATGTTTGGGTTTTGGGCTTGGGACGGATTGGGGTTCGAGTCAGGGTTCGAGGGTCAGGATTGGCCAGTGTCGTTAGTAGAACAGGACTGATGCTGACGGTGGTCGCGTCGGTAGATGATAGGTTCACACACATTGGAGTTATGGAAGAGCACATTTATAGGGTTTAGGAGAGCTTCTGCAAGTGAGGGTTGTGCAAAGGCACGTGATCATACCTCAGGTTCTGCACGTTGGCTTGCCGAGACCTGGCACCACCGGAAGCAAACAGCACCTGTCATGCGCTACATCAATCGCAAGACATCCTTGGCAGTATATCGTGAATCAGTGCTTCCGGAAGCTTACGAAACAGCAGAGATAGCCAAATCAGCTCTGATTGTAGGCCTATGTCAAAAGTCACCCGACGGAATCCGCCGACTCTAGTGCCAAAACTTTCAGCAAGCTGTGATGGGCGAGAAGCTTTAGGGTTTAGGGTTAAGGGGTTTTGGGTTTAGGGTTTTGGGTTTAGGGTTTCGGGTTTTTGTAAACCCTAAACCCAAAGCCCCCAAACTCTAAACCCCTTACACCGATGACATTTCTTCCGCCGTGACCTGCCAGGATGGATGTCGCGGTGGCTAGACACTCGGCCGGAATCTTGTGCAGAGGGTTTAGGGTTTAGGGTAACCCTAAACCCCCCAAAGAAGTAGGCAAAATAGTGGCCTAAGACCTACAAAGGGTTATGATTCTACATGCTTTTGGGGTCAAGGTTCTAGACTATAGCCACTATTACATCAGAAACGAAACCCACGACCCTACCGGAACCCCCCTCCCCCCCACCCTGCCGCCAAGCCCGCAAACCGTTACTGTGAAAGGTGAAAGTCGTTACCGGGCCCTTGTTTTGGCAGCAGTCAAGGGGGAATAAAAAAAAAAGAAGGCGTTACTTTTAGCGTTTAAGAGGGGTTTAGGTTGCCCAAGTTTAACAGGAGGGGATGATTGGATCGCATCGATCCAGAGT